CCCTGTCTAGGGTCTCCGGCCACCAGGACGGGACAGCGCCATCGACTCCCTCGGCTTCGGCGACTGGGACCGAACTGGCGACTGGCAGCGGGCGTCTCTCGCAGGTAATAGATGAGATCCATGAGATCCATCTCCCTCCCGCCTTTATCCTTGGTTCGTTCTCGCTTGCCGCGTCAGATCTGTTCATGATATGCACTAGATAGTGATGCCGAGGTCAAGAGTTGGTTAGTGCTCGATGGATCTCTTCCGTAGGTTAGGAGTTGGAGGCTATTTCTTGATGGTGCCTCCAGTGCAGCAACGGTTGACACCCTCCTCGTCTTTGCGTAGTTGCAGTCCCCTGAAGCCAACGCATAAATACATGCAAGGTATTTTTGTTTCTTGCGCACGTGAGTTAGTTTCAATTGAACTGTAGAGCAGGGCTTAAAGACGTAGTTGGGGGGTGTCAAGTGCCTACCAGTGTAGCTGAACTTTGTGTAGTCGGAACAGGTTGCATTTTTCATTCGTTGGGGTACTTGGCCATCATACAGCAATACCGATCGAGTACGGATGTTGTGGAGTACTACTTTATAGTACTAGCATAGAAGTGACAGAGTTTCAGAGCAAGGAACAGCCGACAGGGTCGGTACTGGTGTAGAGTTTAGTACTCTGTAGTTTAACCTGAACAGAGTTGTAGACTATACTCTCTAGTTTTTGCTGAACAGAGTTAAAAGATTGTACAATGTGGTTTGTGCTGAACAGAGTTCTATACTGCATTCTATATCTTGTGATGAACAGAGTGTTTCTAGAAGCAAAAGATTCGTTCGGTTGGTAGCTTCATGTGCTAATGTGTGACCAACACGTGACTTGTTTGTAGCGTCTGTTGACAAAAATGTCAGTCATAGTAACTGACAGTGTGCCTTGACATGTTTATATGTTATCATGCTTAGGAATCAACTACTCTGTATATTTTTTGCATCTCTGTCACATCCAATCGTGATTCAGGATGTACTAATTCTTGTATGCTATCCTATTCCTACCAGCATAGAAGTGAAGTGTGTAGGATTGGTATTATGCCCTTTGTTATTTGTATTCTTCATAGGTTACACGCAGTCAGTCTTCCAAGGTCTGTCGTGCGTCCTGCTAGTGTTCACAGCCTTCCAAGTTCATGGGGGTCTTGTTTGTTTGTTCATGTGATGATTCTTCTACACATTTCATAGTTTCTTCTACATAGGCGCTACATTTTGGGTAAATCCTGTGCAGATTATGAAGTAACTTGGGTGCCTTGGTAACCATCTTCTTCGTTCTTTTGCAGTTGTAGAGACCACGGATGGGACTATCGCAGTTGCTTCTGCATTTCACGGGCATCAGGAAGGTACTAATTACCATTTCCTCTCTCTAGTTCTTACTCACCACACAACAAGGCAAGGCATATCTGACCATCGCGGGGCCCTTTGCTACATTTGTTGTTCTATGTAATTGGAGAGCTGCTCAAAAGGCTTTCTTCCATATGCTTATGTGTTGCTTTATTTAACAGCGGTACATTACAGGGATCACAAGTTCTTGTTGAAAGCGGTAGAAGAGGGAGTTGACTATGGCCATGGAGGCCTATTTGGCTCCGACGCCATGGATGCCGTTGCGCTCTCTCATCGTCCTCCTCCCTGACCCCTAGGCACATCGGGCCGCTGTGCTTCTTCTAGTTTCACATGTAGGCTTTTCAAAGGATTTTGGATGCTGATAATATCAACTTAGTTCCTTGAATGTGATATATAGATTCTTCCCTTGTTTTAACTGATTGCCAGAACTGTACATTCCTAGTTGACAGTCATGAACTTTTATTGTTGGTAATCTAAAATATTATGCATATTTAGTGTCCAAATACAGTCCAAAGATAAATCTTAGTTGTAAATATTCTGCATATATAGTGTTCAATTTGATCTATAAGATCTGAGTTTATTGTACTATTAATGGTGATAAGATTGCCGCTAGTATATTCTGTACATTTCTTGTTTGGGTCTGGGCTAGAAAATAATGTCAGTTCTGCTCCAGCAAAACTTACCAGTTTCTGCCTTTCCTTACTTTAAACCATCTGAAAATGCTAGCATGATTATTGAAGCCCATGACCTTTTGCCCATCCATCCTTGAGCTTTTATTTCTGGGGTTTACTTCATCAGAACTTTGTGATGAGTTACCAGCAATGTCCCTTTACCGAAGCCCTGTCATTGTAGTAGGGTTGCCTGCGGGGCAGTCGACACATGCATGATGCTGCATTCCTGCCAATCATGTTTGCTTAGATGTTTGGCTTCCTACTTTTGTATTGTTTTGTAATGTATTGTTTTGTATTGTCTGCATCCGAGTCTCGGTCCCCCTGCACAGCAAGGAGCTGGACCAAGGGGGCAAGCAGCGCTGCCGGTTCCTTGAGACATGTGAACACATTTAACTTGTAGTACTCCAGCAATCCAGTAATTTTGCTTAGAGTATTTAACAAGGTTGAACTGTACATATGTGGAGTAATTTTGCTTGGAGTATTTAACAAGATTCAGCAAGATTTAACTTACTTTTCCAGTTAATTAAATGGACATCTTGGATTAGTTAGAAAATCATGAATTATTTGCAGAAATCCATAGAAGTATTGTACTCCAGTGTGCATTACTTACATAAACTTGCTTGCAAGCTTATTTTCTGACTTGTATATTCTGAAACTGAAAAAGCTTAGTTAACTTCTGTTAAGTTTCAGTAGTATTTAGTGGAGTATTTACTATAAATTTTGCACATCACAATAATTTCACTTGCTGTTAACTGCTGTAATATTCAGTGGGACCTTGAAATCATATATTTGTTTGGGCATGTTCTATATGTACCATTTTAGAAGTAGTCCACATATTTCTGTCCTGCTAGTCTTTTTTAAACTTCTTATGAGATTGAAGTATTCGTTCTGATTTCTGGTTTGCTGATTGTTGTAGACAGATGTATGAAACCTCTTAACTATGGACGACAACTACTTGAGAAGGACCATCATCACCCATCAAGTACGCCATTGAGGTAATTCACCAGTCCCTCTAGCACCAACTATCTATTTTCTCTAGTATGCTTAGTTTTGTCATGCTGTTGTGGTACCCCATTGCTGTTGCTTGAATCTCATGCCAGCGCTGGTGCGCCTGTGGCTTGATGTGTTGTGATCTTTATCTGTGTAGGTTTTGTTTGATGATATGCTTAGATTATGATCATAAGCATGGTTGTTTAATGATGCTGAGGCCAGCTGTTAAACCATGATATAGTTGATGGAACTGAGCTTAATATTCATGTGTGTATGTGTATGTGTTTCGAGTAAAGTTGTGGTTTGTGCTGCTCCTTTATAACGTGATGAAACAAAGAATGTCCTTTACTCCTTTTTTGAATGGAATGTTCATAATATATTGGCTCCAGTTTTTCTAATTTTTATCAGCTGATTCATGTAAACAGGGCGTCCGTGGAAGGCCCAGTCCTGACTCTCAAGTGAGTCCGGCATTTGATCACTATTGAAGGAGCTACATGTAGAAGAAGAAAACACTTGTAGAGCTTGTAACTGATTCCCCATAGTTGTAGAGCTTGTATCAACTAAGCTTGTATTACGTGTAACTTGTAGAACTTGTAAATGCTACAGCTTGTAGGACGTGTCATTTGTAGAGCTTGTAAATAAGCTTGTATATGCCACAGCTTGTAGGACGTGTCATTTGTAGAGCTTGTATTGAATCTGGCTATTTTTATTTGAAGTATCATGTGTGTTTTCTGCTTGCCAATTTAACTACTGGTTATTTTCTTATTGTCAAATTGAAATATGAAGAATCTGGGCCTAATAGCTAGGACCCACTTATCAGAACCTGACAAGTGGGACCTGTTTGACTAGTGGACCCATTTTATAAAAAAAAACTAAAACTGTTGTACAAAAAGGCCATGACCCATGAAATAAAAAGGCTGAATTGCTGGGCCAGCCCATGTAGCTAGCAAAAATTAATAGGAAAAATAAATATTAAAAAGGTTGAATTAATGGGCTCGGCCCATATAAACACCGAATTGGACCGGGCTGAATCTTGTGCCATATCAGCTTGCCACGCTGGATGCCTACGTGGCCTGGGGAGGTTGCTAGTGACCAAAACGCCATAATAGGAATATTTTGGTCGTAAACGTCTACGACCTCACAGAGAATGTCGCTATAGTCAGTTAACGACACTCAGCTTTTGACCTTCTGTTTTTGGTCAAAAAAAGGTCGCAGATGAAAAACAATGACCTTTCAGTGACCAATAGTCAAGGTCACAAGTTGACATATTTCTTGTAGTGGAAGGAGTAAGTAAACCCTAGTCTAGGGTAGGTGAATTGCCTCCATGGCAGGGCATGCTATCAGTCCCGTAGCTGGCCTATTTAGCCGTGACAACACAAAATCGACCGAACCAATAAACGAAGTCTAATCAAACGGGTCTCGCACCCCCGCCAAATACCGGAGTAATAAGACGGCTGTCGAGCCGACTGATCCGCGCGCAGGGTCTGCCGAAGTTCTGAAAATGACTCATATGTTGATGAAGAAACAAAAACCATGTGTTTTGTTGGAATGATTTGTTGTCTCACTTTGGATGGACAATGTTGTATGGGTACAACAAAAAAGTTTTTCACAGATAAATTTTAGCACTTCTTTGCTTTATCACGTGTTATCTTATGGCATGAGAAAATTGCTAAATGTGTGGTTGGGGTTCCGTGTTAGGCGTGTTACTTAGCACTAGTAGTACTATGTCAAAGGGTAATGGATAAGGATTACATCACAAGATGGGTCAGAAAGCCCCAACTGTGGATTGTACTATAAATAAAATCGCAGAAATAAAATAAACACTTATGAACCGCCAATTTCTTCTTTTAAATAACTGCAACTCTCATAGCTTACTTCCCTTGGTCATGGACCAAGGGAACAACGTTCCGTGACCGCGCAAAGACAGCTAGCTGTTCACAATACGATTCAGAAAAGAAGCTAAGCTGATGAGCACACGACAGTCGATCTAGTCGAACACGGCCAGCTTCTGGTACTCGTCGCCGGCGATGGCCTGCATCATGATGGCCTCGGGGTTCACCACGCCGTCATTCTGCAGGAAGATCTTGAGGATGTTCTTGGAGAAGCCGCTCACCATGGCCACCCCGGGCTGGGTCGACGTCACCGGCATCGAACTGGAGTCGCGCAGGTTCCAGAAGACGATCTGCGGCACCACGTCGCCGTAGCCGGCGGCCCTGAACTTCTTGCAGATCACCTCGTAGTCACTGTCCCACGACGGTTCCCCGCCGTAGTAGGCGCCTGACGCCATGTTGAACTCCATGTCGCTGTACACGAACACGGTCCTGATCATCTTCTCCGGCGCGAGTCCGGCGTCCACGGCCGTGCAGAGGATCTGGTCAAACACCCCTTGGAAGTTGGTGCTCCCGCCCCACTCCAAGCGCTCCACGAACTTCATCTTTTCCCGCAGGGTATTGCCTTTGATCAGGTGGATCGAGGGCCTTGAATGGAACGTGATCACCTTGCCCTTCCACGGCCTCTCGCTGAGCTCCGACGTGAGCACCCCCAGCGCGATGCACACCTCCATCGGCTTGCCATCCATGCTGGCGGACACGTCGCAGACGGAGATGCAGTTGCGCAGCAACCCCTTGGAGCGGAGGTCCTCCACCATGCGGCGCCACTGAAGCTCCGAGACGTCGTCCTCCTGGCCACGGAGTGCGGCCGCGGCGATCTCGTGTGGCAGGAGCGCGCCCGCCGAGATCTTGGCCTTGCCGGCCTTCACGTCATCCAGGTACCTGCCGAAGCGCACCTCGTCGTGCTTCTTGAACAGGAACTTGTAGCGCCTCATGGCCACCGAGGCCACTCGAGTGTAGGGGAGCTCGGACCACCGCTGCGCGCTCATGTACACCTCCGGAAGCTTCAGGACCTTGCGCAGCGGCACGAGCACCTGACGGCGGAGGCGGTGGAGGGCGCAGTACGTGTAGTGCTCGTCCGAGAGTTGGGCGTACTCGGGGTCAGAGTCGCGCGGGAAGAGGCGACGAGCGATGGCCTCGCAGAGCAGCGTGGTGCGGTCGAACGACGAGCCCGGCGTGGGACACCACTTGGCGGCGAGCCCGATCTTCATCGTCTTCCCGTCGTGGGAAAGCTGTTCGAGGTCCGAGGTGAGGAGCGCGGCGAAGAAGTCTGCGACGGCGTCGAACAGGAAACGGTATGCCCGGTCGCCGTAGTACGTCTTCAGCGACTGCACGGCGAGCTTGGCAACCTTCCGGACCTTCTTGGACATCTCCGGCTTACGTGGGGAGGTCTTCTTCTGATCCACCTCCATCACCTCCGGCTTCTGCTCGGCTGCCTCCGGGACCGCGACGGGGTCAGGGACGGCCTCCATCGCCTCCGGCTTCTGCTTGGCTGCCTCCCGGACCGCGACGGGGTCAGGGACGGCCTCCATCGCCTCCGGCTTCTGACCGGCTGCCTCCGGGACCGCGACGGAGACAGGGACGGCCTCAACCACTAGGGCCTTGCTCTGCATGGATTTCCAGAGCGCAGCCGCGAGGAAATCGCCGAAGGTGGGCTTGGGTGGCAACGGCGGCAGTGGCTCAGAGTCCAGTTCGTCGCCGGCTGGCCAACCTGGTGCGGAGGGCCGCCCGCCTGCGGCCGAGCGCCTTCTCCTTCTCCGCCGGCTGGCCAACCTGGTGCGGAGGGCCGCCCGCCTGTGGCCGAGCGCCTTCTCCTTCTTCCGCGCTTTCTCGGCCTCGGCGGCCGCCTTGGCAACCTTGCGCACGTCGGGGCCGTGGATGAGGCGGAAGAGCAGCTCGGGGAAGTCCTTGAGGTAGCCAAACTCGGCGAGCGCGGCGATGTTGCAGGCGAGCGTCCGGGGGTTGTGCTCGTGCATCCAGAGTGCGGCCGCGTAGAAGCCCTCCTTGTCCGACTTGCCGGTGCCGCGGACGCCGCGGAGGTTGCAGGCGAGCTTGAGCGCCGTGAGCGCGTCGTGGGCCCAGGCGGCGGCGAGCAGGCCGCGCACGCGCTCGGCTGGCGTGTCGGGCACCACCTGGAAGAAGAAGTCGAGGCAGGGGTTGCCCGAGTTGGCGTACGCAAGCGAGTAGTTCTCCGTGAGCGCCCGCCACGGCGTCAGCGCCCGTGCCCGCCATGGTGTCAGCGTCAGCGCCGCCTTGATGGCCGCGTCGAGGAGGTCGAGGAAGGGGTGCGACGCGGGGTCGGCGGGCGGGCGCGCGCCGCGCACTACCGGGGGGCCCAGGAGGCCGGGCGGCGCGGCGGGCTCCGTCTCGATCGCCATGGTTTCGTTGGAGGGGTCGAACGTCGAAGTCGAACTCGGGGGAGGAGAAGATTGGGTTTTGTCGCGATTGATCTGGTGGCTCGTTGGCTATATGAGCGGGAGGGGGGAACAACGAGGGCGGATCTGGGCCGTCGTTCGAACCGACATGGCGGATCGACGTGCTAGAGGAGTTCAACTCTCAAGCCGACTTACTCGGTCTTTTTATGCTTTAGCAATGAGATAAATACACCCACGGTCACTTAGTTGCGTTGAAAGCACGATACGGTCACCCAACTTTGAAATACGCTCGTTACGGTCACTGAATACGACGAGACGTGAATATACGGTCACTTTAGCGCGTATGCGGCGCGAACAGGCTGTTTGACCACGTGTTGACTGCTTGTTGGGGGACAGGTGGCGAACCGGGGCGGCGCGGCTGTGGAAATAAGCAAAAAAGCCCTCGGGCGACGCCTCATCACCCGTTCGTCCCTCCACCACTTCACCTGCATGTTCGTCTTCATCGACAGAGAAAGGGGGAGTTGCATAGGCGATGCCGCCCCGGCGATCATCGGAGGGTTGGGGAGGCGACGGCCTGATTTCTTGCGTGGTTGTGTCGCCGCGCGCCTTCGCCGCCGCGCGCCTTCGCCACCCGTGGGAGGCGGCGTCGATGTCTCCTGTTCGTCGTGCAGAAGGGGCGGCGGCCCCCGTGTACAGTAAGTCGCCTAATCTGAATCATCCCCCTTTTTTGCCGTTTTGATGTCAAGAACCCTCCTTTTCGGCCCGCATTGCCCTACTGGATGTTTTGTAGTTGGTAGATAGGCCGAATTCTGCTAGGGTTTTCGCATGGGATTTGGGGGTACCAGAATTGGGGCTTAGGGTTTTAGATGTTCAAACAAATTGATGGTGATGTGGAGATTTATGTCGATTCTGATGTATGTTGTACATGTGTTACTGTGTCAGGCCGCCGAAGCAGGAATTTCTCTGTGGAGATCAATCATGGTGGGGTTTTTGTTGGGCATGGAACGAACCGTGTTTATGTCAATGGCCGTTCCATTTGGTATGATCATGTGGAGAAGGTAACTTGGTCACCAATTTTAGTTGAAAGTCTAGTTGAGGAAATAGGCTATGAGGTGGCAGGCAGACTCAAGGTTTTCTACTGCATTCCAATTCTTACACCCAGCACAAATGGTTTGAGGGAACTGAGTGATGATGAGCAGGCAGATAGGATGATGGTTTTTGTTGATATTGGGCACCATTTCTTTAGCATCTACCTGGATCATGATCAAAGCTTTCAGGCTAATCCAGATGAAGATAATGTTGTCCACAATCCAAGAGCACATTTGCCTCCAGTCTTGAGCCCTGCAAAGAGAGTTGACATCAGTACTGCAGACACTGTAGAGGATCAGGAAGAAACAGAGCATGCAGAGGCAGAGGCAGATACAGAGCCAGAGACAGGGGCACCTATTCCTCTCCAGGTTATATTCCCTGAGGATGCAAATGAGGATGTGAATCAATTTGAGTTTGTGAGGAGGCCATCAACACAGCCAGAGCTAGTTGTATTGCAACAACCTAGTCATTACAAAGATAATGCAACAGAGCCAATTGTAGGAAGCACATCAATGAGGATGAGTACTAGGCAGAGCAAAATGAACTATAGAATGCAAGATGATGATGCACCTAGTGACACAGATGATGAGGATTATGACCCTGGATTAATTGTGGACAGTGACAATGAGATTGGCAATGATGATGATGACTTGTATGCAGATAATGTTGATGAGGATGAACCAGAACAGAAACAGGAGAACAAAACAAATGAGAGAGGAAAGCAGAAAGGAAATCAAGGCCAAAGTAAAGCTCAAGAGAAAGGAAAACATGAGTATAATTCAGATGAGGACTTGTCTGAAGGTGAAGATTTGTGGGCACCTGATTCAGATGATGAACAGTTGCACTTGAAGTTCAACACTTTCAGACCAGAGGATCTGCACAGGCCACAATTCCATGTTGGCCAAGTCTTTGAGAGTGTAGAACTACTGAGGTTAGGAGAAGGGCAGTATAAGCTTCTCTGGAATTATGCACATGAGGTTAGGAGAAGCAACCCTGGCTCCTCTTTCTATGTGTCCCTTGATAATGGAAGGTTCAGTAAGTTGTACATGTGCCTAGATGCTTGCAAAAGAGGATTTCTAGAAGGTTGCAGGCCTGTCATCTTTCTTGATGGTTGTCACATTAAGACTAGATACATAGGTCAACTGCTTGCAGCTGTTGGGGTATATCCCAATAACTGCATTTTTCCAATTGCCATAACTGTGGTTGAAGTTGAGGACACTCCTAACTGGGCATGGTTTCTTGACACACTTAAGAGAGATCTAGGCATTATAAACACTAAACCTTGGACAATCATGTCAGACAAACAAAAGGGGCTCATCAATGAAGTTGAAGAATTATTCCCAGAGTCAGAACACAGATTTTGTGTTAGGCACATGAGGCAGAACTTTCAGCAGTCTTTCAAGGGGGATATTTTGAAGAATCAATTGTGGAAGATAGCTAGGAGCAACACAGTGCAGCTATATGAGCAGAGCATGCAAGAAATGAAGATTCTTAATGAAGATGCCCACAACTGGCCGCATGAGTTAGAGCCTGAAACTTGGGTCAAAGCTTTCCAGAGTGACTTGCCAAAATGTGATATTTTGCTAAACAACATCTGTGAAGTATTCAACAGGTAACACCATCTTATTTGATCAACATTTGTGATGTATCTGTGCTATAGTAGTGCTTGCTGCAACCTAATGTGATCAACATGTTCAATGCAGGTACATTTTGGAGGCTAGGGAGCTGCCAATCCTTACCATGGTTGATAGGATTTATAGGCAGCTCATGACAAGGCATTACAGCAAGCAGATGGAGTCAGACAAATGGCCAGGTGATATATGCCCAAAGATCAGGAAGAAGGTTGAGAAGGCAACAGAATTTGCTAACACCTGCTATGTGGAGGGATCAGGAGATGGTCTTTTTCTAGTAGGTGATAGAGGGCATGACTACATTGTGGACATGCACAAGAAAACATGCACCTGCAGAAGGATACAGAAAGGAGGGGTTCCATGTTCTCATGTCATTGCCTGCTGCAGGAATGACAGAATTGATCCTCTTGCCATGGTTGACCCTTGCTACTCAAAGGATATGTTCAAAAAGGCATATGGAAACATTATATATCCTTGCAAAGATAGGAGAGAATGGGAGGACTTACATGGGCCCCCAATTGAGCCACCATTGTATCAGAAGCATGTGGGTAGGCCATGTACTACAAGGAGGCAAGCACCTGGAAAGGTTGATCATAGAAGGGGAGGAAAGAAGATAACAAGGCATGGTGTCATCATGCACTGTTCTTACTGTGGTGAGGCAGATCACAACAAGAAGGGGTGCAAATACTTGAAGGCTGGACTGCCACCACCAAGTGCTGCAAGTGTGCCCCCTCCTGAGCAAGGTGTTGCAAATGTGACACCTCCAGAACAAGGTGATGCTGCACAAACTACAACTCAACAGAAGAAGATCCAGTTTTAACACAGGTAACAGAAGCAGATTCTTGTGTTCTTAGGCATTTGTATTCTCTCATGTTTTGAAAATTATGTGACACAAAATATTCCTAATGAGCAGAACCATGAAGAAGCTTCAACTACATATGATAATCTCATGGTGGACAACATGATTGCCCAGGTAATATAATTTTTAAATTTCATCATGGACAAGCAGTGACTACTTCTGTATGAAATGTGTTGATCCCACAATTGTCACTTGTGTATTTTTTGCAGATGCCAACACCAAGAGTTGTGGAACAAAGGCCACTACCTAGTTCTGCTTTCCTCAGTGCTGCACAAGTGTTGCTCAACCAGTCTGCTAGCCAAGGAAGCCAAGCAAGTTCCAGTACCATCAGGCCAGTTGAGTTGGCACAGAAGTTGGAGGCCATGAAGAACCAGAGAGATAGAGAACTAGAGGAGAGGAAGCAGGACATTCTACAATCTAAAAGAGAAGAGGAGTTGAGGAGAGCTAAAGAGGCAGCAAGGAGGAAACATGAAGTGGCACAGAAGAAAGCTGAACTTGCGGAAAGAAGAAGATTGGCTGCATTGCAAACAGCTGCCAAAAAGAAAGAAGAAGCAGAGCTAAACAAGAGAGTTCAAGCTGAGACCACGCAGATTATTCAAGATACAATGAAAACAATAGCTGCTGAGAAAAAGGCAAGGCTAGAAGCAGAGAAAAGAGCTGCTGGTGAGAAGAAGGAGGAAGAGAAAAGACTACAGAGGGAAGCAGCTGCTGCAAAAAGAGAGGAAGAGAAGATAATTGCTGCTGCAAAAAGAGAAGAGGAGAAGAAGCTTGCTGCTGCCAAAAGAGAAGAGGAGAAGAAGCTTGTTGCTGCCAAAAGAGAGGAGGAGAAGAAGCTTGCTGTTGCCAAAACAGAAGCTGATAAAAGGCTTGCTGCTGCTCAGCAGAGGATGAAGGCTGCTGCACAAAAAGCAAGGGAGCAATCTATGGCTGCTGCAAAAAGAAAGTCAAGCTGCTTGGACAACCAAAATGATCCTCCACACAAGGCTACCAAATCTTCTATGTTTGATATCTTTAGGTAGTTTGTAGTAGATGAAGTGTTTGGTACCTAGATGATCATTTTACCTGTCTTGTTGAGATGATCATCTATGGTAACAAGTTGCTGATTTTGGTTATGTTGATGCATAGTGACTGCAACAATCTACTGTAAGAAACATGGCTACTTTGTTTTCTATCTCCTGTAACAATTATTTGGTTATCATGTCAGTTTGCTTATTTACTGTCAAGTTTTGATGCAACTATACTTGTCTATGGAAATTGTCATGTCAGTTTGGCAAGTTTGGTCAGTTTGGCATGTCAAGTTTGTCATTTGAATGATTTGCCATTTGGTCAGTTTGGCATGTTTGTCAAGTTTGCCATTTGGTCAGTTTGGCACCCAGAATGATGGATGCATATTTGGTCAATTTTGGCAATTGTGCTGAATTGTG